GATTTTCTATAATTGAAACACTGTTGCAACTCCAGCTCGGCCAGCTGGCTGAAAGCATGGGGTTTGTTTAGCTTCTATAATTGCAACATAGTTGCTTAGAGTGCCAGCTCAGAGCTGGGCGGCGGCAGGCGGGGAACCTTGGCTTCCTCCATCACTGGAGCAAGCAAGCCTCCTCTTTGATTTAGCTGCCTGGCTGCTGGCCGCCATCTTGGTTGGCAGTTAATTTGCATATCGCCCTGATTAGCTAATGGGAAGTGTGTCGGAGGTACGGTTAATTACCATGTTTCTCTATTAGTAGATAGGATAACTACTTAATCTGAGGGGCAGGATGAACAATTAACTTCATTAGTGATGCTGATACAGGAGGGCTGTTCTGTAGAGCCTGAGGGCTTACACTCTGTGGGCAAGACAAAAAGCTAAAAGAGGGCTAAACTGGCCAGACCCTTTTCACAAATCCCATATCACTTTTATGCTCATACAAAGGAGTCACTGTGTCCAGTATCAAGTCACTTAATAGCATGTGCTGTTGGCAAAATTATGTAACTTTCCTAAGCCTAAGTTTCCCCTTTTGTAAAATGGAAATAGCAGTGCTTACCTCATAGTGTTGTACTGCGGAGTTAAGAAAATAATAAGAGAACACCTAACAGTGCCTAGCATATAGCACATGATCAAGAATGTTAGATGTAGTCTTCACCTCTGCATCACCAGCAGCTCTAAGCGCCAGGAAGGATGGAGAGGGCAGGGGCTTTGAGATGACTCTTTCAGTTGGAGATTGCCATCTGGAGATGAAGTGGCAAATGGACTGGAGTTTAGTAGTAGAATTGAGCATCACTTCCCCCCTTTCTACTACCTCCCCCCATACAGCCACCCAGTTCACTGAGAGATGTTCTTATGCTTTCATTCATAGCAAAATTTAGGGAGCATTGAGCATCCCCTGAGATCATTAGTTAGAGAAGGGCAATGAGAAGATGAGAAGACTTCATCTTGTGAGGGATAGCAACCTGTGATAAAAGAAAATATGGACAGAAGATGAAAAACAACTCCTGGGTCCATAGGGAAGAGGCGGGGAAGGGGAAAGTAGAAATAAGTGCTCTTGGGAGCAGGGGAAGGGAAGCAGCAGGGCCAAGGCGGCTTGGGTCTCTGCAGGACTCTCAAGAAGCAGGGTGCCAGGGAAGAGAGCTATGCACCACACTCACCCAGCCAGGGTTGGGAAAGGGCTTCTGAGATTGGGAGGCCAGGGATGTTTTACACTCTGGTGTCCTATCAAGGGCATTCCCTTATCTTCACCAACAAACACTGGCAGTGCTTGAGGTCTAAGGTAGCTGGTGAGGGTAAAACCTTCAGAAAGAGCTTAAAACAATATCCGGTGTGTGTCTGGAGAGATACCAGCTGCCTTTGCTCTGGTTCTCTGCCTTAGGGAAGTCTTTCCGCCTTTCTCCATTTCCCCTCTCCTCTCTCTTGGCAGCCCCACAAGCTGGCAGCCACCCTGCCAGGAATTGCCAAGTTTGGTGACATCTCCCATTATAGACCCTTTGTTCATTCCTTTGGCAGGAAGGGTAGAAAAGGTGTGGTCTAAGAGTCCTAGTTGTCATCTTCTCAGATACCACTACATTGCCCTTGACTAATTCTGCCCAAGGGAAAGTAACAAAAATCCCTATTGCTAAAGGATTAAAATTAGACTAGAAGCTCAATAAAGGCACTAATCCTTGTACATTTACCTTCTACTATATCCCAAAGCCTGTCACCCAGCAGAACTCAATAGATATTTGTAAAATGAATGAGTACAAATATTTATTAGTGGCTTATGAAGAAATGAGGTTCAATGACTCTAGACTTTGTTCAGTGGCTGAGTAATGTTATTATAGCTTCAGACTTTCCCCCCCTTTTCTACTTCACAATCTCTATAATTTTCTCCAAAAGCCACAAAATGATTAACTAACTCCATTGTGACAACTCCAGACTCACATCCTCATACCAACATTGAAAGCAACAAGGATTATGGATAATTTTGAAACTGGTTTTTATTCAGAAACGAACTCTCTCAGGAGGTCCAGAGTTTTTCTCTGTCTTCTTGGTCTGATTTTGGTCCCATGCCACAACTCCACCCCATACAAAGGAGTCTAGGACAGAGAATACATGGCCAAGAGGAGCAAGAGCTTCATTATTGGCTTAAACAGTAATTTAGCATTCAGGACTGGGCACATGACCACCCTAATCTAATATCAGGTATTGTTAACACAGACAAAGGAAAAATTGGCCACTGATTGGACAATGATCTATTTCAGCCAGAGCAACAAAATCTGACTTTTGCGTCTACAGTTGCCAACCTCTCTAGCCTCCATCATCTCTCTTTGGATTTCTTTCAAAGAGGTGCCCACTCATGTACAGCTATTTCTCCTATAAGCACCTTGAGAATGGAGCCTAGGGACCAGTTAAAACAATGTCTGTCCTTCAGTGACCAGAGTTGAGGTAAAGGAAAAAGAATAGAAAGCAAGAGAGAAAGTGGACTCAGACTTGAAGTTGAACTTAGTAGTAGACTCATTCATCATTCATTACAGCACCTCCATGTGCCAGGCACTATTTTAGTATTCAATGACAAGCAAATTAAATAAGGTCTCATTTTTCATGGATCACATGTCCCAAGGAGGAACTGACAGATAAATACATATTATGATATCAGGACCGAGAAGCATTTTAAAAAGGTGGGAGGGCAAGAGATAAAGCATGATGGGAAGGTTTCTCTGAAAAATACTGAGGCTTGACCTGTATGTGGAGAACCATGTAACTATGTGGGGAACACAGAGTGGAAAGGCCCTGAGGTAGAAGGGTGGCTATAACTTAACAGAAACACAAAGAACACAAGTGTGGGCAGGACAAAGTGAGCAAAGATCAGAAATGAGGTCAGAGATATAACCAGTGGCTAGATGTAGGGTTTTCTTGGTCATGATAAATACTTGGGATTTTATTCTTTGTGTAATGAGAAGTCATTAGAAGTGTACTTTGGACATGAAAGTGACATAATTTGGTTTATATTTTTTAAAACTCACTCTAGCTGCCATAAATAGGAGTACATTTTAATTATTGCAATGACTAATAATATACAATTGAACAAAACATAAGAAAATTTGAGAAGTAATTGATAAACATAAATGGCATCTTTTGTAAATGTATTTCTTAAATGAGAGTGATGAGGCTACTTTTCCCCAAGTACTTTACATACCCATGAATAAATAATCCTAGAGAGAAATAAAGTTTGTATTCCTATTTTCTTCCCTCATAATTATAAGCTTTGAGACTACTTCATAATTACGTATGTAGGAAGAAGAAATTTTATTATAGTATTGTTGTTCAATTTGTTTGACTTCCATTTGAATTATTAGTTAAAAATCACACAGCAACTTACTATTAAAAGTTATTTTTTGGTGGCCTATCCACTGATAACTGGATCGTGTCCTCCTCCACTATTGAGTAAAAACCTGAAAGCTTCCTAACTTGTAAAACACTTGTCATCCAGTCACTGAATCACTCAACATTGGCACTGTATTTTGAATCATTTTTTGACATTCAACAGATTTTTTATAACCCAGGGCAATGAATCATGGAAGGTTTGGTGACAGGTAAGGGCTTGTTTTCATTTTGTTATGGGGGAGAAACACAATGGCAAACTATCACCTTGATTAAAGGACATCTTGGCACAAAATTTAGGGAACAGTACATACACAAATAAAAAATCTAGAAGTTGATTATTGTAAAACTGCCTTTATCAGCCTTCAACTTGGAAAGTCAGCCAGCACCTAGTTTGGAGCCCACCATGTTAGCTGGTGAGGTCCACAAGGGAAAATGTATTATTTTCTTTCTTTTTACCTCTACTACCAAGCAAAATACCTGGCACAAAGTCATTATCCTTTTGTTAAATAATAAAAGAACTGGAGTACCCATCTCAGCTTTCCCCGTTTTCCTCATATTTTTCCTAATTCTTGCTAAGATGGAGTAGTTGGGATGCTAGAAACATTTTCTGGCTAAAGGGGTCCAAAGCCAGAAGTGGTAACATCAAAATATATATGATGAATTTCAGAGGGAAGGCGAGGGTGGGTGGGGAGAGATTAGCTGGGGAACTTATATGCATATATGCATTGTTCATGGACACAGGCAATAATGTGCTGAAGGCCTGGGAGGGGTGGTGCAGGGTGGAGGGGGTCAGTGGGGAAAAAAACACAAAGGGAACATCTGCAATACTTTTAACAATAAAGATAAATTTAAATATATATGCATACACAGTTAGATGCAAAAATTGCCTTTATTACCTAAGAAGCAGGGTTATAACAAATGAAAGGGACACTTTGAGTCATGTTTCCTGTGTGGGGTCCTGGTTTCATTGCCGTCATGGTCACACAATGGGGTTTTCATCCTCCTTCTCAGACCAGTTGGCAGCAGCGGGCAGTGGTCCAGTCTACCACGCTGCACTGGCAGTGACAGGTGGTTTCCCTTCGGATATCCCAGGAACCACAGCCATAACCACAAGCACAGCCGGTGACAAAAGTCCCTGCATGGGCACATGAGACATGGAGGTCAGAGCCCTGAGATTTTGAGAGGCTAGAGGAGTCCTAAGCCAGAGTGGTAACATCAAAAATATATATGACGAATTTCAGAGGGAAAGCGGGGGTGGGTGGAATAGATCTAGGTTTTGTGGGTTCTATAGTTAATTCAATTGTGAAAGTCCTCTTTAATAAAATAACACATTCAGGTATATGGCCATGGAGGAGATCTGTGAGAGTGAGGGGCCTAGGGACTTCTGTTCCCTCACATTCATGATAAATTCACCTCTGTGCTGGTGCCTCTAACCATTGAAATAGGGCAATAGATTGAAAAAGGGAAATAATTGGCAGGGGACTTGGTAGGTGATAGGACTATAACAGGACAATTAAGAGGAAGGGCTCCTATATCAGGTCATGAAAGAAAGGTGGGGAGGGAAGAGGCGGAAACCCAAGATTCTTCAGTAGCTTCCTTAAGGGAAATGAGAATGGGTAAGTGATCTCTGGGAGCCAGGAGTCATTACTCAGCTGTGGATGGACAGGGGAGAGCACAGGGCATCTTACCCACCATCCCTCCTTATGGAATTACTCACCTGAAGGGCAGGAGGACAGTTTGCCAGAGTTGGTGACACTGGTACATGAGATCCTTGGGGGAGGTGGATTGCACTCTGAGTAGGAGAGAAGAAGGGGTATTGCCCATGACCTGTTTCCCATAATGCCCTCCTTAATCTCCTTCTTCCTCACATATGTCCCTGTGTTCATGAATAGGCGATTAACTAGTTTTAATGTTTAGTTTTCTAATTTTTCAAATGAAAGTAATAATTGTACTTACCTCAGAAAGTGAAAATTAACTGAAGTAATCTGTGTAAAGCTTTTCATCATACCTCATTCATAATGAGTGTTCATAAATTATTACGCTCCTCCTCCTCCTCTCCCCCCTCATCATCATCACCATCAATCTCATTGTATCAAGGAAACTTGAACTTTTAGCCAGGAGCCCAAAAGGAGACGGGGGAGTGGGAAAGCGCTGGGCAGGAATCTTGGGCTTGAGTGGAGTGATTAGAGATTGAGTTTCAGGGATGGGACAGCAGAGAAGCTAGGAGCAGGAGGCATGATCAGGGGTTATTGTCCCACTTCCTCCAATTCTAGTCCATTACCCAAACCTTGGAGAGCATCCTTTATCTTTTCATCCACAATGGCGTCTAAGGACTGCTGAGTCCTCCCTGCGCTCATCAGCAGGAGAAGGAGGATGGGCATGAGAAGGCTGCAAGGGGTAGGCTTCATTTTGTGGAAAGGCAGTATCCTGGAGCTGGGAGGAAAGATTGGAAAAAAGCTGAGATCTCTGAGCCTGTGTGCTGGGAAGGAAGGGAGAAGAGAACGTGGAGAAATGGCAGTGTCCGGATGGAGTTTGGATCTCTCTAAGTAGTTTGGAGAAGCAGGGAAGGTGGCTGCAGAGAAGATTCACTCACCAGAAAGCTCAGAAAAGGTCTGCAAAGGTCTGCAAACATCCTTCAGGCAAGGATGTTTTATAGCCTGGGTACCGCTTAACACACAAGCGTGTACACACATGCAAACACATTCTCTAGTACATTTTCAGAGACGCTGCCAACTGGGGAGTGCACACAACAGTGATGATCTTCAGTTTGTCCTTGGTAAACACTGGCTGTCTTTGTTCTGCTTCTCTAGTGCCAAGGGGAATTATCTGGCTTTCCTGTTCTTCCCTCTCTTTTCTTCTTGGCAATCTGATAAGGCTGGCACATGGAATTTCTGTTGACTGCCCTGGATTACAGGCCATTTGTTTTGTTGTGTTTTTTTTTTAATCAGGAAAAGCTTACTTTATGGTCTGCTGAGTGAGGGCTCTACTCATCACCTGTTAAGACATCATTTTATTGTCCCTGGCTAATCCCAGCTGTTGGAAAGTAGAAATCTGATGGCCCGTATTGTACAAACAAGGAAGCATACTGTTTACTTAACCAGAAGAATGGTGCATGATTCCAAGGCTCTTTTGGAGATTCAACAGGGTCATTACCAATCTGATCTTTTCTCCCTTTTCTCCGCCAGCCTCAGTTTATTGGCTTTTCATCTTTGATCTCTTGTCTCGTCACGGTCACGAGGTGGCAGGTATCACATTGTCAGCAGAGATCCTGAGCAGGCCAAGTCCTTGTGCTCTTGAGACTACATTGTAATGTGGGAGATAAATATATAATATGTCATATATTTACACATTCTCTGAAGAAAAAGAAAGCAGGCAAGACAATTGAGTGTGCTTCTGTACCGTTGCTCATAATGCAGTGTGCTCTGGAACGACATCTCAGGAAAGGTAACCTGTGAGCAATGACCTGGAAAGGTAACCTGTGAGCAATGACCTGAAAAGTGAGACAGAGAAAGAGCTGAGGCAAATGCTTCAGGCTAAGAGGCAAACAGGACTAAAGAGCTTAAGGCAGGATGCCCAGCAGGCATAGCTCAGTGGTTGAGCATCCACCTACGAACCAGGAGGTCACAGCTGGATTCCTGGTCAAGGCACAAGCCCAGGATGCGGGCTCATGCCCTGTGGGGGCTGTGCAGGAGGCAGCTGAGTGATGATTTTCTTTCATCATTGAGTAATTCCTCTCTGAAATCAATAAAAATATATATTTTTAAAAGAGAGCTTAAAGCAGGGAGAAGGTTGGTGAGTTGAAGGAAAGCTACAAAGACTGTGGCCAGAGTGAGTGAAGTGAATATGGAAAAGAAAAGTTAAAAAAGAGGTAAAAAAAAATATAACTGGGGCCAGGTCATTAACTTGTTAAATCAACACAAGGGCTTTGGACTTCACTGTAAATTTGGCAGATAATTACTGGAGTGTTTTGTTGAGGAGAATACACAAGATGATGTATGTTTTGTAAAGCTTACTAAGGCCTCTGTGTGGGAAAGAGACTGGAGGGAAAACAGGTAAACAAGAAGACCAGGTAGGAGGTGTTTGCAGAGTTCCAGGTCTCAGAGGTGGTCAGGGAAGAAGTGAGAAGTGGATGTATTTGGGTTGGGTATAGAAGGCTGAGCCTCTTTAGAGCTCACTGGCGGATTAGATGTGGGATACAGGGGAAAGAGAACAGCAAAAGATGAAGGTTATGTTCTGAACAACTTGCTGAAAAGTGATACCATTCACTGAAATGGGGGATCCTGGAAGAAGAGTAGATATCACCAGAATATTGAATCATATCTGATGATAAATTTAATATGCATATTAGACATCCAGACAGAGCTGTGGCATAGGCAATTGGTAAACAAGTTTGGGGTTCAGGGGAAAGGTGAGAGTCAAAAACATAAATCTGAGATTAATCTGTACACACAGATTGATATAATAACACATATAATCTAAAAAAAGAAGATAAGAAACAATTTTATGGCTCAGGTAAAGAAAGTGGTAGACTAGGAAGTAGATGACCAGGACATCGGTTTGCAAATATGAATTCAATGGCATTGACTGGTGAGTTTGCTGAGAATGGCAAGGAAAAAAAAGAGAACAGGATTACACAAGAGTTCTCTTAGATTAAATGGAGCCTGGACGGCAAGGATAGTGAATAACATTTCTGGGTAACACTTGCAGTCAGTGGCATGCCTAGTGCATTGGATACCCAGAGGGGACCACTTCTAACACCTCTGTCATAACAAAATTATTTCCAGTCATTTTTATGTAATGATCAATAATAATCATTACTTTCTATTCATTATCTGGTTTTAGAACAAAAATAACTATTAAAAGAATAGATGTGAATTTTAAATATAGTGTTTACATCCAGTCTGATATTTTTGTGTGAACTAAAATTTGCACTCACCAAACAAAAATATTATACCTCTCAGTTTGCACAATCTTTGAATTTATATTTTGAAGCACAATTAAACTCCTCATAATAATATTGAATGACCAAATTGATATAATTCAAGTTCTGCTAATTTGTCTTTATAAGCACTCAATTGTCACTGCTTATTTGAAATCTACTGTTTAATTGCAGAAACATGTAGTAGCATAGGGTTTGGTGACACAAATGTAAACCTGAACATTTTAAGAACTAACTTAAAAATGAAGGCATATAGCTAAGACTTGAGTATGGGGGGGGGGTGTCTCACTATATAAGAGGAGTTCTCTGAATTAACTCCCATGTCGAATATGACTCTTTTAAATAAGTATTAAAATTTGCTAATTTGAAGTTTACATATCATTATCAACACTCAACAGTAATCACAGCAATTGTTTGGATCAGTGTTTTGGGGGAAGAGTGTTTTACCATCGACATTATTTAGAAGTGCCAGTGTATAGTAATAATAAAAATTGAGTTGAGTTTTACACGAATTTATTATTGCTTTTAAAATTGCTATAGACAATGCACAGTGCTTTGTGCCTGCACCCTTACCCTTGTGGTCACTGCTTACGTTCTGAGGACATCGCCTCTGCATTCCTGGAAAATGGTTATCATCTTATACAGAGAGGGTGGAAGAAAGGTTTTTGTTCCTCCAACATGTGTAGAGAAACTAAGTGAAGTCTTTTAACATTTCTCTCTCCCTAGAGCTACTCTCTTCCTAAGAGTGCACTTCTTTCTTAATGACCCAAATGTGAAGGTACATTTTAAATCTTTCTTATCTCCTCCTCCCAAGCAATTCTCCACTGATTAACTTATATTTTATTTTATATAAATAAAGTTTGAAGAGTTGGTAGCATAGGACAGAGTCCGTAAACATTTTCTGGGTAAAAGTAACTGGACAATTAAAGAAAGTAACGGTCTGAAAGATGGGGCTGAGGTTGACAAGGTCTGTTCCAGGTTAAGCTAAGGCCAGCACTGTTTTCCTCTGCCTTTCTTTGTACACAGGAGCTGGGGTCTTCAATGTTGAATGTAGAACCCTAACGGTACACAAAATGATCCACTGAGTCATAAGTAAATAACAGAGCTTCTATTTTTATTTATTTATTTTTCTTATTCTTTAATATTTTCTGTCTTATATATGCTTTAGAATAAACATATTAGTTAGCACATGTTTATAGTTTATAAATCAAATTTGTATGTATAATTAATTTTTAAAACTCATGGTGCATCTGAAAAAAATAATAGAAGAACAAGAAAACCAAGAGCCACAGGAAGCTGGCAGAGTCTCAAACACGAGTTTCTAGGTCTGTTTTTCTCTAGAGTTGGCAAGTCTCGAACCATTGAAGTACTGCTATTTTATCTTGTAGATTCATATACTTTAGAGAGTACATGAGAAATCAGTCAGGTTGATATTATATGTAAAAAATGAGATGCAGATAAAAATTGAGAAGCTGACCTGCCCTGTATAGACATTAATCATGGGTTTGCTTGGAGACAGAGCAAAATGTCCCTCAAAAATTATCTTGGAATCCACTCAAGGGTTATATAGGTACCCAATTAAGACTGCAGAATTCTGTATCATTAAGCAGGGAAAAATTGGTTATTTAGAACTTGATAAATTGATGCTTTCAATTAGCTGTGAAACCATTAAACCTCCTTACTCATCAAGGTTCCAATCAGGCACAAGTCAGCTGTAAGAAGAAAATTTGCACTCCAGTAGTTGAAGGAGTTTCCCCCAGTGGCTGAGCAAATTTATTTGTCCAAAGATGTTATCCCTTTGGATATTGGAAATATCTAATAAAGACAATAGTATGTTCTTGGTATTATTTATTATAAAGCTAGTTGTGGTAACACTTGGATAATAGATTAAGCTGTTGAGTGTGGACAAAAGCAGAAGCAAGAGACAGCGATTATGGGTGAAGAATAATTGCAAGGTGGAACACTGGGAAGGGGATAAAGAAAGTAAAGGTTCCGCTGTGGTCGGCAAACTGCGGCTTGCGAGCCACATGCGGCTCTTTGGTCACTTGAGTGTGGCTCTTCCTAAGCCTTAGGAGTACCCTAATTAAGTTAATAACAATGTACCTACCTAAATAGTTTAAGTTTAAAAAATTTGGCTCTCAAAAGAAATTTCAATCGTGCTGTTGATATTTGGCTCTGTTGACTAATGAGTTTGCCGACCACTAGCTAGGGGAGGAGATAATAGAGAAGAGGAAGCGTAAAGAAAGAGAATGAGCTTGGTAGAGGCTAGAAGAGCCACAGACCTGTGGAAGTACAGAGTGTTTCAGGGGAGTGGTTTAAAGGTGACATAGGTCAAGCGGACATCAACAGATTCGCCCTGGGATCACCTGCCATGACAACTCTCCTAGCTCAGGGCTCTTTTCCCCTGTTGTTCTGTCTCTATGTGGTGGTTAAAGATAAGCAATTAAGGATTCCAGGGTTCTGATTCAGGAAAGGGGTGGGTCCCAGGGAAGAATGACAGAAAGAACTGTAAAAGAGGACACCGTCCCATGCCCAAGAAGAGGTGACAAAAGGTAGTAGGCTACAGAAAGGCCTTCTGGTCATATTGCTCCTGCCGTGTTCCTAGGAGTGAATGACCAGCCACTTAAAACTCCAATCAATGCTTTTTTGAAAGAACCTCCAAATGTCTGTGGTTAAATCAGGACAGAGTGATCCCTCCACAATAACTCAAGTAGCTTAGTA